AAACGCCCCCCACACGTGGCGCGCCCTCCCGCCCCTGTCGGGTCCTGGGGTCTCCGCATCGGCAGCCCCCCCCTTTAGGGCCCCTCCCGCAGGGCGTGGGCTTGTCCCAGCAGCGGGGTCTGCCCTCCTCTAGCACGCTGATGCTGGTGGGCGTCTCGGTGGAAGACGAGGCCATCTACCAGTGTGTGGCAGAGAACAGCGCGGGCTCCAACCAGGCCAGTGCCCGCCTGGCCGTGACCAGGGGCCCAGAGCCCCCCGCCGCCCCCAGGGGCCTACGGGCTACTCCTCTCTCCACTTCCGCCATTCGAGTGTCCTGGGAGCCACCCCCCTCCAGCCGGGACGTCATCGGCTACGTGCTGCACCTCCGGCCTGTGGGAGGTGGGTGTGGGTGGGTGGTCAGGGCTTTGAGCTCAGAGCTTGGGCCGGGAGCCAGCATCCCTGGCACCAGCCTGCCTCTGCCCCCGACTGGTGGCATCCTGGGCCAGTCCTTCCCACTGTCTGGGTTCCAGCCTCCTTCGTGACCCCCAGAGCCTCCTGGATTCTGCCTAGGCCGCTGGGACTGTGGCTTTCTGGGTTGGTTGCCTCTGGTCTTCTGGTGCTCTTCAGGTTGGCATTCAAGGCCCCTTTCTCCTTCTAGCTCCAACTTCTGCAGCCCTCTTCCCTGCTCTCCTCAGATGCCTGGCTGGCCCAGCCAGGCACCAGGGGGCCTTTGTCCCACTTTGCCAGGGTGGAGGGATGGCTAGTGAGAGGATGCTGACTTGCCAAGCTGCTGTGTTCTTCAGAGCCAGCCGGCCCGGAGGTCCAGGAGGCTGTGAGCAAAGGCGCCTTCGAGCATGTGTTTTCCAACCTGGAGCCTGCCACAGCCTATGCCGTTCACTTGCGAGCCTACTCGGCGGAGGGTGCCAGTCAGGACTCTGCCCCCATCCTTGCCTCCACCATGGGCAGCAGTGAGTGATGGCCTTGTCAGCCCTGGAAAGCCCCTGGCTGCAGGTGGGCAGGGGCTGCCAACCAGTTCACCCGTTTTCTTCTGCAGTCCCTGCTGCCCTGGGCTTCTCCACCAAAGTGCTCAATGCCACCTCTGTGCAGGCCTCCTGGGAGCTGCCCCCCCAGCTGGGGCCCATCCAAGGCTTCAAACTCTTTCACCGCAAGCTGCCAGCTGCCCATTTTGAGGGGCCCCTGCTCCTGGCCAGCAGTGTCAGCTCCTTCCTCTACACAGACCTGGGTGAGGCTCTACATCATCTTGTGATGCCCGCAGCCCCCCTGGGTGACCTCGCCCGGGCTTCCTGGCCCAGAAGGGCCTGTTTCCTTCACATCCCCCTGCTTCCTGCAGAGCCCACCGCCCTCTATGAGATCAAGCTCCAGGCATTCAACGGCAATGGGGATGGGAACAGCAGTGCCCGCTTTGTGTCTCTGCGGGATGTGCCCCCCGCCGCCCCCGGTGAGTGGGGTCCAGTCGGAGGGGAGCAGGGTGGGTCCAGAGCAGCCCCCCCCCAGGACCCATAGCTGTCAGTCTTCATGGAGGAGGGCTGGGCCTCGCCTCCACCCTTGGTCCTGACAGATGGCCCCGTGTCCACAGAACCCACGGTGGGATGTTCCTGTGGCCGGGATGAGAGCAGCTCACTGCCCAGGGTTGTGGTAGGCATTCACGTGGGCCTGGGCACGCTCATTTGCCTTCTCTGCCTCTTCCTGGGCTGGAAACACAGGTAAGGGCCAGGTAAGGGCAGCTGGCAGAAGCTGCTGGGGAGTCTGTCTGCATCACTGTGGCTCAAGGACCCAAGAGCAGGAAAGAGCCCTGTCCGTTACCAGCCCACTGCAGCTGAGGAGGCCAAGACAGAGATGGGGAGCCAGTTCTCAGAGAGGTGTGGCACCGGGAGCGGGAGGCCACATGAGCCACATGAGCAGGGCAGAGAGGACTGGGGCTTCCGAGGCAGCCCGTTTCCCTGCCATCCAGCAGCATGAGGAGGGGGCCCACCCTCTCCACCCCTGGGAGTTTGGATGGGAGGAGGGCCTGGGGTTGACGCTAGGCCGAGTGAGGCCCCAGGCTGTCATGGTGCTGACCCTCCCTATTCGGACAGCTTCCTCTGCAGACAGGGGTCCCGAGAGTGCTGGGCAGTGCCTCCGACTAACTTGGACAGAGCTGGGGGCCGCCAGAGACAGACTCAGAGTGGAGGGAGGCCAGGGGAGAAGACTGAACTCATCACCCAGGTGAGGGGGATTCCAGCAGGGGAAACTGGCAGGCCTGTGACCTTAGCACAGAGGCCTGACCTCCTCCTTCACCCTCAGGTGACCATGGAGCAGCCGCCCTTAGCCTAGGGCCCTCCCTGTGGGCTCCCTCCCAGATGTCACTAACTCTGGACCCACCAAAGAATCTACCTCACCTGGCCCTGTCGCCCCGGAGTCAGGAAAGAACCAAAAGTCCCTCAGTCCCTCTACGGGGAGAGGCAAGCCTGGCCACAGGGGGAGAGAACAGGGTGCGGTTTCTCTGTTCCTCCCCCTCCTGAAGTGGGGAAGTGTGTGTCCTTCCTCACAACACACCAAATAACCTCAAACTAAACCAAGCCCAGCTGGGAGTGAGTTAGCCCTAGCCCAGTGACTCCTGTCTCACAGCCCCCAATATGTCCGACTCTTGACCCAAATATGGATCTACCCAAAGATATATAGCTTTAAGGATCCCCCCGAGAGGAGGAGGCAGGGCAAGGGGCTCTGTCATCACCTCCATCTCACCCTGAATCCCTTAAGGTTCATGTCTCAGTGTCTGTCTCCTCATGCTCAAGCTGAGCTCTGACAAGGGTCAGGCGATCTGCATGCAATGTGGGTCAAGTGGGTGGATGTGCAAAGGGGGGCCGAGTTCCTTGCCCCCTTTCTCCCCAGAATGTAAGACTCTTGGGTATCTGGGCTCACATGAGCGTCTCTGAGCAACCAAATGCCCACCTCCTCCCTCCCAGAACCACAGCCCCAGGCCCTCCTCAGGGGCCAGCGCTCCCCTCGTATTTCTATTTTTCAAAGATTAGTTTGAGTCAGGGTTTTGCCGGTCTCGAATCACGTGTAGAATGAGTACAGAGGCTGTGGGCCATCCTACCCATCCACCTCCCTCAGCTCTAGGATTCCAAAGACGCCTCTACCCGCCTCCCTCCACCAGCCTATGGCACTCAAGGTCCCATAGTCCCTCATCCAGCTCTGTCATGCCCTAAAGCCAAAGCCCCCCCCCACCCCCTTTATCTACCTCTCTTCAGGGCTGTCCAGTATTGTGCCAAAAAGGAGGAAGGCAAGTTCTGGGCTTAGAGGGCCCTAAACATTGTCCCCCCAGTGCTCTTGTAGAGTAATGCTAGTACCAATGACAAGACTCCAGCAAGGCTGGGCCCTGGCCCACCACAACAGCGCCCTCTGAGAGGTGCAGAAGCAGCTGCGACTGAGAAGGCGGCTGGGAGGTGGGGTGGGGTTGCGCACAGCCCCAAACTTCAAGTCCTTGAGGAAATGACATCTCCTATGGTTGAGTGGCTTGCTCTCAGTGCTTTGTTGGAAATAACCAAAATGGAAAAAATAAATTAGGAACTGATTAATGCTCTGCGTTGAAAAAACGGGGGAGGGGATTGTAAGATGACAGCAGTTGCAGGTCTCTCAGGATGTTGCATTCCGATTTTTTTTTTTTTAAGATGTGGGGTACAATTCAGGGTTAGTTAGGTATGCAAACGTTGATTATGCAGGTACCCTTGTTGATGAGGTGTGCCCCTCCCTCCCCTGGCAGTTCCCTTAACTGCTAATCCCACCCCCATTCCAATTGTTAAGGGACTACATTCTGAAGTTTGCTAAGAGCAGTATGAGCCCCTGTTGTTCTAAGGCACCTCTCTGGCAAAAAAATCAGCATGTTACAAATGATTTTTTTTTTTTAGTTGGAGTCTCACTCTGTCACCCAGGCTGGAGGGCAGTGGCACGCTCCTGGCCACCACAGCCTTGACCTGCTGGGCTCAAGCAACCCTTCCACCTCAGCCTTCCAAGTAGCTGGAACTACAGGCACACGTCACCATGCCCAGCTAATTTTTTGATTTATTGTAGAGATGAAGTCTTGCCAAGTTGCCCAAACTGGTCTTGAACCTGTGGGCTCAGGCAGTCCTCTCACCTCAGCCTCCCACAGTGCTTGGATTATAGGCATGAGTCACCATGCCCGGCCTAAGGATTTTTTAAAAATAGAGATGGGGTCTGTGTTGCCCCGGCTGGTCTTGAACTTCTGGGCTCAAGCGATCCTCCTACCTCAGGCTCCTGAGTAGCTAGAATTACAGGCAGGAGTCACAGTGCCCAGCTGAAGGATTGTTACTAGAGACTAGAGCAGTATGGTGAGAAGCACCAAGGACAGCTGGGGACACCTTTCCCTAGGAGAGAACCCAGCTCCCTTCCCATGAAGTCATCAGGTAATTAGAGTGGTGCAGTGGCTTCCAGAACATGGGCTCCAGCTAGAGGTGGAGGGGAACAAACACAGAGAAGTAGGTGAGGGCTTGATAGAATCACCACAGTTGGAGGAAAAGGTTCAAGTGAAAGGGAGCCATGGTGGGGATGATGGGGAGAAAGATGAGCTGCACCCCATCTCCCAATTAGCCCTAAAATTATCCCAGCGAACTGCCAAACTACCCCCATGACTAAAGCACAAGCCACAGGAAAGCTTAGAAACCATTCCTTTCTTTATTAAACATAGCTTGCAAGTGATAAATATTACAAAGTTTTTTTTTCTTTTAATCCTTTCTCCAAAAATTAGCTTATTATTTGAATCTGTCACTGCTGAAATGCTCAGCAGCATCTGAAACAGATGGGAGTGTATTTGCCTTTTTGAAAACCAGTTTCTATTGGTCTTAGTTTTTTCATTTTATTTCCCAAACACAATGCAGAAAATTAGAATGAGTTAAAAAAAAAATAAAGGAAACTTAAAGAGAGTTGTGCAAAAGGGTCTTGTTCCCCTCCCACCCACCCTATTCAGGGAAGGCCATTCCCCATCCCACCTCCCTGCTCCCACCCCCCCAACCCCAATCTATCCTTCCACCTTCACCAGGGCCTCACCCACCTTCCTGCGTCCTCTCCAGGCTTTACCAGCCAAGAACCTAAAGACATATGGGAGTGCTCAGCCCAGGCTTTGGGGAATTGGCCCTTGAAGGAGACAGACTGTGGAACAGCTGCCTTTAGGGGGTTCAGATGAGATCTGAGGAAAGGAGACAAGATGTGGGCTGTACTGAGCACTCCCATTTTGTCACCAAGAAGACAAGGGAAGTTCCACATCCTGGAGCTCACAAGGGGAGTAAGTACCTAGAGCACCAACCGGGCACTCCATGATTGACCACCCTTGAGGGCTCTGGGCTACTATGAGGCGGGGCTGGGGCCTGGTCCCTGCCCTCAGATGACGAGAGGCAAAGGGGCAAAGATGTCACTGGCCTAACTGACGTGCTGGACATCACAGCTGCCAAATCAAGGGTAACAGTAGGGGTCTGGCAGCTCTCCAAGGGCACTGTCACATATGTAGCCACTTCAACACCAGTTGCTCTCATCTCCTCTCTGTTTGCTCAGCCCAATTCCCGCACTTGTTTTTTTTTTGTTTTTGGCAGGTGGAGAAGGAAGCACAGAATTTTAAACAGTGACCAGATGATTTACCCCCTCACTTCATAGACATGAAAACAGAGACCCCAAAAATTAACTCTATCAAAGGTCACATAGCAAGTTAGTAGGAGACCCCAGGTCTCCAGACTGTAGTCCTAGCCCTCCAACCCCCTTGGTGCTGGTAATTCTCTTTACTCTCCACAGTCCTGGACCAGAGCCATGGCTCTTCCAGGAGCACACCTCACCTCAGTTCACACAGCCTAAAACTGTGCAGATGGATGTGGCTCTCACTAGGTAAAGCCCCCTTAGGATGACTTCTTAAAATCTTTTCTATCACCCCTGACAATTCACCCTCAAAGGCCCATGAGACTAGGTTTTCTTTTTTGAGGGGGTGGGGTGGGGTGGGGGAAATCCCTTGCATAAGAAAGCTTGACACTGAATTTTGTTATATAGGTATATTGTATATATGCTGATGCAATCAGAGGAAAAAAAACAGTGCAAATACAATTACAATTCATAATAATACTTGGTTTCGATGCCCCCGGGAACTGCCCCATTCCTCGGCTACCTCCCAACCCCCAGCACTTCCCCACAGTATCAACCTAATGCTGGGGGGCAGGGAGAGTGGGCAGGTGAGGGTAGGGAGTGGGCTCTGCCAAGGCAGTGCTGGTGACCTGGAGGAACGACTCCAGGGTGGGGAGGCAAGGCACAAATTAGGGGTGGGTGGTGGGGGAGGTGGCATCTCTAAGGAGGGATGGGGTTGGAGCAGCTGCCAGTCTCAGTGTGCTGGGCCCGGCCCACTCCCCTACCCACCCTCCACAGCCCTGCCTCCCTACCCCCTCCCCTTCCCCAGAAACCCTTTTGCACGGATCATACACAAACGGGCACATTACAAAATGACATAACACAGTTTCACAATATCCATGGCTAGGGCTTTTTTTTCTCTTTTTCAGTTTTTTTTTTTCTACACAATGTACAATTCCTTTTAAATGGATCAAGAAATAGCTTATATACACGAATGAGTCCTTGTTATAACATCTCGGCAGCAAGTATCATAAGCTAATGAAGGTTTTGATGGAAGGGAAGGGAGCCTAGGACTGGGGTGGGGCAGGGGGATGTGGAGAGAAGGGTTATGCCTTCTGGAGGAGTGGGGAGAAAAGGGAATGGTTGGGGAAAAGGAACAAAAGTAAAATATCAAGAAGCATCTTTACAAAGCAGTTCTATAGCTAATTCCTTTTAAAGGGGAAAGGAAAGGTAACCAAAGCAGGAAAACATTTATCTCTGTGTCTTAAAAAAAATTGTCTACCATACATATATCCAAAAATGTGGGGAAAATACTTATTCCAGGGATGGAGGGAGTCCAGATGCTGTGGTCATATGACAAAATAAAACTGACATATAAGGACCTCTGTCCCTCACTTTTACCCAAGCCTTATCACTAATCCCCCCATTTCAGGCTTCTAAGGAGTAAGATACCATCCATAAACTACTACTTTTAGTGCCACAAGGATGGAGGAAGCCAGGCAGAACGGGTGGGATCCTCACTCTAATACTACCTTGAGCTTCAGAGCTCCAGGGGTAAAGGATAGCTCTCCAAACAGAGGGTTTTTCCTCCTGTCCTTAGGGCATGAGGCTTAGTGTCTGCAGGGCCCAGGGCCTGAGAAAGGACAGTAATGACAGACTTGGAGGAACACAAGGCAATCAGCGATGAACAAGTAGAGAACTGAGGAAGACAGATGGGAAGGGAGGAGGTGGAAGGCTAATACTTTACCATGATTAGGGAGACCTCACCTCCGTCACTAATCCCTGGGAAGGGCATAAAGATGGGGAGAAAAGAGGGTTAAAAAAAAAATCAAACCTCAGCGATTGAACAAAGGGTCACAGAGCTATACTAGTCAACAAGCAGCTTCTATGTAACTGACCCTGAGGGGATAAAGACAAGGAAGATCCCACCCTCTCCCCTATGGCCTCAGCACCTAAGCAGGCACGACTATGGGCTTTCCTTCCCCATCATTCCCCATCGCTATATATCTTACTTCCAAACCCCATTCAGGTGGCCTGGCTCCCAGGGAAGGTTCTCAGCTCAGGGCAGGGCAGGACAGCCCCCAGCCAGACGGTATTGCACATTCTCTGTTCCTTTTAATCTCAACTGACAAACTTGGGCACCTTGTACCTCTGAGCACCTCTGAGCCGGGGGAGAGGGAGACGTAACAGAAATGGCACTTCATTATGGGGGAGGGACAGGCTAGACAGACATGCCACAAGGCAAGATGACTTGCAGGGAAAACAATAAAAAAAAAAAGCTTCCAATTTTGTGGAAGAGAGAAAAGCAAAACCAAACGATTTATCCAGTGCTTTCAAAGCACAGAGGGCAAAGAAAAGATGTAAGAATATATCTTTATATATATATATATAATTTTAAAATAATCCCAGTCCCAGTTCCATTAACCCCCCTCCCTCTCCCACCACTTACAGTCAGGGGTACCACATTCCCCAGAAAAATACTCAAAAAGACCCGATCACTACCTGTTACTAGCATCTAGCTTCCAGATCATTTCACCACTGGGGGAGCCCAGACACTGGCTGCATCTCTGCTCCTTTATTAAGTGCTCAATTGATTTGGGGGAAGGGAGGAAAGAAAAAAAGCCAGGAGGGCCCGTAGGGCCAGTATAATCACCCACAGTGGCACTGGGGTGTGGGGAGCAGAGGCCAGAGGGGGAGAACTGAGCCTGATTTTAGCTCCCTTCTCCACCTCACCTCCACATTTTATGGGGAAGATGTGCAGTTTGTGTGTGTGTTAATTTTAAAAGTGCCTTCTTTAAAAAAATTATTTAATTTTAAAAAATAAAGGTGGGGGAACTTCCTCAGGTGGCTTTCAAGGGCAAAATATTAAACTTCTCCTCATACCTCTTTGCTGAGAATATCCCCCCAGTGCACTCTGGTAGTTTCTGGAGCTGAAGAGGCAGGTGGTATATGCTATGAGGAGAGCAGAAACCCGTACCTTTAAGGGTTTCCCTTTCTCAGAAACAGCCTGGTTCCCTCCCTCCTCCCCCACAGGGTGGGCAAATGGGATGCTAATCTCCCCAATCCCCAGAACAGCAACATTGCACAATTCAATTCATTCTCTACATTAGTAGCACTTAAAAAAATAAAAACAAAACAAAAAGGCAAAAGTAATAGAATTCTTGGGGGGAAAAATGACAACTACCTGTATAGCGGAGGTCCTATGCTGGTTCTGACATGAGCTGTTTGGCTCTGAGCAGCTGGTTCTGCAGTTAGTGCAGCAGAGTCAGGACAGGACTCCAACCTGATTATGTGCCTCCACCCTCACCTTCAGGCACTCAGAGAGTGAAGGAACAGGAAACACTGAGAATCTCAATTGTTGGGAGAGAAGTCCTTTTCTTCCTTACTCTAAAGCTATTTCCTCCTTTTGTCATGTGACTCATTTATGTCCATTCCAACATTTAGGACACCCAGCAAACTCAGCCTGGAAACAGTCGTTCCTCTATATTCTAGATGAGACTGGTTAAGGGGGATGGATTAGAATTTTTAAAAGGGGGTGGGGAAAAATTTTACCTAAGATGAAATAATTTGGGGCTAGTTGGCCTGGAATAGACTTGTGTCCCCTTGGGGTCAGGAGACCAATCTTATTCCCTTGGAATCCAGAAAGGACCTAGTCTCAGTCCTCTCTGACTCATCGTTAAGCTCACCATCATACCTCTTTCTTCTGCTCCTCTATGGGCAAATTCCAGGGTTGGTAGAGTTTTAAAGCTTTTCCCTCCAGGCTCTCTTCCCTCATTCTCAGAGCCCAACATCAATACTAAACACTGCCTCCCAAATTTTCCAGCCCCCAAACACCCAGAGCTGGGGTGCTATTCCTCCTTGTTTGATGTTACCCACCCACCCTTTAGGTTAAGTGCATTAAAAATTTCTGCCCCTGAAACTCCCAGTCAAGTCCTACTTGGCAATTGGAGACCCTACTGCAATCTGCAATGCTCCTATCATCGAACTGAATGTCATCTGTGTTTACGAGAAAAAAAAAAAAGGAATAAAGAAAGGAAAAAGACTGGGGGGAAGAAAGGTTTAACCGTCCACTGAACAAAGGGAGGAGATACAACATCATTAAAAATGATAATAATTATAGCATAAAAACAAACTTCAGAAACACACGTTGGAGGGCTTAAATTCTCCCCAGGACCTCATTCTGACCTCTATCAGAGGTAAAGATCCACCTCACTGTTAAAGAAAATTGAAGAAAGAAGACAGCGGCAGAAGAACAGATCGCAGCAGTGTGAAATAAAGGGGAGGTGGCGGGCCAGGGCGTGTGTTTTCCTGTTGATTTCTATTTTTTTGTCTTCTGTTTTCTGTTTTGCTTTCCGTGTATGGTAGGCACCAGTACAGGCACTGCATGCGACGGAAGTTGGGGGAATGGGAGAGGAAAGGGATAAAGGAATCAAGGTTGGGGCAGTACAAGTGGAACAGGCGTTATTTCTGTCCACTGATAGACTGCGATATAGACCGGGGAGGGATCATGTCTAAAAGGTATTCACGCTGTCGGTCTGCCAAACTGGGGCCTTTGTGTCCTCCGATGCCAGTATTCAAGTATGCAATGTTGACACCTAGACCCAGGAAACAAAAGTGGAGGGCAGGTATTAAAAGAAGAAATAACGTTCCCTTCCACACTACCTTGGGGCTGCAAATTTAGAGATGGGGAGGAAATATTAGAATCTGCCTGTACCTGTCCAGATTTAGCTAATTTATTTCAGTAGGAACTATCCTCTCCTACTCTCAAGCTTTAGGAAAATAAGACTTCTTGAAATCTCAATCCTACTAGGAATAATGAATACATGGCCTTGATGGTATAGGAGAGACAGTGAGGAGAGGACAAAGATGGAATCGATGAATCTGCTTTAATTTTTGGGCCAGTGATTGTGGAGAGGCATCCCTGGATCATTTAGACAGAACAGGTGATCCTGGTATCCGGGCCAAAAGAGATCAATAACCACATGCTCACTGAAGGCAAATTAAAAGTATATATATATATATATATATATATATATATATATTTTTTTTTTTTTCTTTCTTTCTTTCTTTTTTTTTTGAGAAATGGGTGTTTAATCAGAGAGCAAGTTGGTATATTCACCCAAAAAACCTCATTTCCTGACAGTACAATTTACTCAGAATTTACACTCCTTGGCCACTCACCCACCCTGGAAGCTAAATTAACAAAGACATGACTTAAGATCTAATCCCTTCACCAAACCCCAAGATTGAATTAACAAGGCCTATGGCAGTTCCAGCATGACCCAAGGTTTAATCAGGCTGATAGATCCTTAAGCAGAGGATGGGGAGTTACAGCAATAAAAGCAGCTACCTTGGTACATGCAGATAAATAACTTCGAATTAAATTTTTTTGTTTTTTTGAGTTGTAGTCTTACTCTATAGCCCAGACTGGAGTGCAGTGGCAAGCTCCCAGTCACCCCAGTATCGACCTGTTGGGCTGAGAGGATCCTTACACCTCAGCCTTTCAAGTAGCCGGAACCACAGGTGTGCACTACCACACCCAGCTAATTTTTTGATTTATTGTAGAGATGAGGTCTCGCCAAGTTGCACAGGCAGGTCTCGAACCCGCGGGGCTCAGGTAATCTACTCACTTCAGCCTCCCAAAGCGCAGAATTACAGGCTGAGCTACCGAGCCCGGCTTTGTTTTTTTTTTTTTTTTGAGTTAGAGTCTCACTCTGTCACTCAGACTGGAGTGCAGTGGCCGCTCCCGGCCACTGCAGCCTTGACCTGCTGGGCTCCGGCGATCCTTCCGCCTCAGCCTTCCAAGTAGCCGGAATTATAGGCATGTACTACCACGCCCGGCTGATTTTTTGATTTATTGTAGAGCTCATGAGGTCTCACCAAGTTGCCCAGGCAAGTCGCAAACCCGTGTTTTTTTTTTTTTAAAGAGACAGTATTTTGCTCCGCCATCAGCTCACTGCAGCCTCAACATCCTGGGTTTAAGGGATCCTCTGGCCTTAGCCTCCTGAGTAGCTGGGACTACAGGTGCCCACCATCATATCCAGCTAGTTTTTTTCTTTTTTGAGTTGGAGTCTCACTCAGTCGCTCAGACTGGAGTGCAGTGGCCACTCCCGGCCACCGCAGCCTCGACCTGCTGGGCTCCGGCGATCCTTCCACCTCAGCCTTCCAAGTAGCTGGAACTACAGGTGCGCGGTACCACGCCTGGCTGATTTTTGATTTATTGTAGAGACGAGGTCTCACCAAGTTGCCCAGGCGGGTCTCGAACCCACAGGCTCAGGCAATCCACTCACCTTGGCCTCCCAAGGCGCAGGATTACAGGCTGAGCCACCAAGCCCGGCCTCCAGCTAATTTTTAAATATTTTGTAGAGATGAAATCTCACTATGTTGTCCAGGCTAATCTTGAACTTCTATCTTACGCAATCCTACCACCCTGACAAGTGCTAGGATTATAGATGTGAGCCACTGTGCGTGGCCTAAAAATTAAATTTATAGTGGGAGTAACAGTGTCACTTTTATCATCAAAACACCAGTGCACTGTGGCTGGCACATTAAATGTGCATAATATTTGCTGAATAACAAAAGAGTAAGGGAGTATGCCCTAACTAAAGAAAGAACAGAAAGCAAAAGAAGGAACAATTCACCTAAAGGGGCTGCTAGAAAACTATGAACTACAGTCGACCCACAATAAAAGTTCTCAGATCAACACCTCTTACCTGGCATACCAAGTAGGCCACCTGGCACAGACAACTGGGGTGCCTGTGCAAAGTTTGAAAGCATGGAGCGGGCAGATGTGGGTATGCCACGCTGGAGGCTGCTCTGTGGCTGTGGAGCCTGCAATGATGAGGAGATAGTTGATATAACTTTGCTATGATGGAAAGGTAAGTGGGAGGCAAAGACATGAGAGCAGAGAAAAGCAGTATGACGGTCCACAGAAGAAAAGGACAAATTAGTATAATGGTTGATAAACGCTTGAAATAAATCAGGGTCAGGAAAAAAAATTTCTCACCTGCCGAAGTGTATGATGTCTCATGATGGTCTCTTGTTTACTGACACTGGACACAGCTGGAGCCGTAGTGGGGGAAAGAGCTGCCTGCTGCTGTAATCGCTGTTCAATTTCCTGTTGGGAGTCATCAGATCAGGTTGGGCAGGACAGTACCCAATTCCTAACCAGAAAACGTAGAGGTCTTTTTATCCCTACGCTGTCAGCTACTTGGAGGCATACAGAAAGGGCAAGAGTTTGGTGGGTAAGGCATACAGAAAGGGCAAGAGATCTCTGGGTATAAGTAGCCAACTTGCTTTGTTGATTAAGGACTGTATACCCACTACCCCTCAGGAAAGCTGCCTCTCAGAAGTTGGCTGGAGGTGATGAGCCAACTGATGTAATGAAAGCTGACAAATTACTGGGGTTTTAATTTTGATTCCTACCTACCCATTTTCCCAAAAATCCATGACACTCCCCAAACAAAGGAGTCTGACCGGTGGTAGAGTGGGAAATGGGATAGAGGAAAAGGATCTGAGTTTCCTACCACATTCTTCCCTAATATACTCTTTGTTATATAACTATTACGGGAGATGTTCACACATTCTGTAGCATTACTGCCCTTTCCTGGGCTACTTTATAATCTACTCTTTCCTTTGTCATTTCTTGTCAAGTATGGACTGCAAATAGGTATCTCTTTCAAAGAGATTTCTGGCACAAGTATAAATTTCTGCCACCAAAATCAGTTTGTTTTGAGGAGACAATGAAGTCAAGAATAGAGTGCTATAGAAAAATCAGGTGTCAGCTGGGCTCGGTGGCTCAGCCTGTAATCCTGCGCTTTGGGAGGCCCGAGTGAGTAGCTTGCCTGAGCACGCAGGTTTAAGACCCGCCTGGCAACTTGGCAAGACCTCATCTCCACAATAAATCAAAAATCAGCCAAGTGCGGTAGCGTGTGCCTGTAGTTCCAGCTACTCGGAAAGCTGAGCGGAAGGATCGCCGGAGCCCAGCAGGTCGAGGCTGCGGTGGCCGGGAGCGGCCACTGCCCTCCAGTCTGGGTGACAGAGTAAGACTTCAACTCAAAAAAAAAAAAAGAAGAAAAGTCAGGTGTCTCAAGCCTTTCCCTTAACCTCAGCTAAGCTATTATAAGTTACTACGTTTTTATCTAATCAGTCAATAGTCAAATGGAAATGGGAAAGACAGAGTGATGAGAAAAAAAAGGAACCTAGGCCTCCAGGTCCAGAGGTCTGTGGAAATCACATGCACAACTCCAAACTAGAATGACTCTTGGGAAAAACAAACTTGGGGCAGGTAGCTGATAAGAAGTGAGATTTCTTACCTGTTCCTGCTGTAGGGCTTTAACAAATGCATTTTTCAGCCGGTTGGTGTGTTCAGCTTTTAGAGCCTTCTTCTGGTTGGAGGTCATACACTGCTCACACAGAATCTTACCATTCTTTTCTTGCTTCCAGTGGGGGGTGAAATCTGTGCGGCACTGGGCACATACAAAGGGTTCAACCCGCAGAAGTGAGGCACAGCTTTTGCCTATATGCCAATAACAAGAGTAATCAGTGGTTTTACATTTCCTACCTCTTCTGTTTCTCTGAATCAAATAGATGTTTTCTAGTTTATTCTTCTGAATTAAAAAGAAATTCTACAAAAATACTCCTCAACAATTTAGAAAATATTTCTTTGTTTTTTGAGTCGGGGTCTCACTACAGTCACCAGGCTGGACTGCAGTGGCACAATCACAGCTCAACATCCTAGGCTCAGGTAATCCTTCCACCTCAGTCTCTTTGAGTAGCTAGGACTACAGGTACATGCCACCATGCCCGACTAATTTTTTGACTTTTTGTAGAGATGTAGTCTATGTTATCCGCCTTTCACAGACAGGTGAACTTAGACTTGGAAAATTTCAACCACTGGGCTGTCAGGAGCTATGTTTCTTAGACTATGTTTTCTTGTTTGTAAATAAGGATAGTATTATCTGAATTCTTTAGGGTGATATTGTTACAATCAGATTAACTAAAAGTATTTTATGGCTGGGCACAGGGGCTCATGCTTGTAATCCCAGCACTTTGGGCGGCCAAGGTGAGAGGACTGCCTGAACCCAGGGGTTTGAGACCAGCCTGGGCAACTTGGTTAGCCTCGTCTCTACAATAAATTTTTAAAAATTAGCTGGGCATGATGGAACATGCCTATAGTTCCAGCTAATTGGAAGGTTGAGGTGGAAGGATTGCCTGAGCCCAGGAGGTGGATGCTGTGGTAGCTATGATTGTGTGACTATGCTCCAGCCTGGGCAACAGAATGAGACTCCAACTCAAAAAAAAAAAAAAAAAAAAAAACGAAGACGAAGAAGTAAAGAAAAAAAGAAAATACTGTGTCAATTAAAAGTCAAAGGACTCTATCTAACTCAGTCAATATTTTTGCTTCTTAGTATCACCTTATCTCAGACTGTACTGATCCCTATCACATACATTTACATTTTTTAGTTATCAATGTCTGAACTATTCACTTTGTGATCTGCTTATAGCTAACTGAGCCTTCTAGACACTTTCCCCTACAGTCAGGTTTTCCTGTGGGTACACATTTAGAGATTCAAGCTTAATAACTTGTTAGCCTAGACTGCATGGTATTAATACTCTTTAGTCTGGTTCAGGATTGGTTTACAGCTTTTTTTTTTTTTTTGAGTTGGAGTCTCACTCTGTTACCCAGACTGGAGTGCAGTGGCCGCTCCCGGCC